AATAGTAGGAAAATTATATCTAAAACTCGTGTCTTTTTTTTTAACAATCTTCACGATATATTATAAAAACTTTTTTTAAAGAAATTATTTATTAAAAATGCGTACATCGATTACAGAATTGATTATTATTAACAGATATGGTTGATTGCAACGCTCGTATTAAACGATCGGGAAAGCGAATATTGGATAGAAATTGATCACTTTCTTCAAGCGTTCGAATGATAACACTAAAGTTGAAGAATGAACTAATGATGAAACTGGTGTTGGAGCTATTATTGCTATTGGTAATCAAGTTGAAAAAGTAATTTGAGCTTTTTTAATAAAAGCTATTAATAATAAATAATAAAAAAATAATAATAAAAATTATTAATAATAATTAATAATAATAAAAAAATTATTATATATTCATTTTCTCTATATAATATTAAATTTCATCTTCCAAAACAAGCTACAAAACATATTATTAATAATAATCCTGAATCATCAACACGATTTAAAATAATAGTTACTATTCCTGAAGTAAAAGATTTTATTTTTAACGCTCTTCAAGCGTTCGAATGATAACATAATATTCAGAATGGTCTAAAAGAAACTAGATATAAAATTGATCTTGCTTCTTTTTTTTTTCTTTGAATTTTATTAAGTGAACAAAAAATCAAATATTAATAATTATAATAATAATCTTCTATAACTTATAATCATATCACTTTAAATATTTTTGAAGGAGTTGATTCTGGAGCACAAAAGTTGTCTTGGCTTGTTTATTAAGCAATTTAAATTTTCATTAAATAAAATTTTTTAAAGACAGTAGTGATAAACCTTTCAAAGTTTTGTGTAGCAAATTTTGTACTCATTTTGTCTTTTGCTATCTTCATATTATAACATTATGATGCAAATAATAAAATCACTGATAAATATAAATATTGTATGATTTTAAATAATTTGGCATATATTTCTTTTTAAACAATATAACGTAAAATATTTAATCTTCTCTTGAATCTAAAAATTCTGTAAAAATTCGCAGTTAATAACATTCAATATATTCAATCTGTTTTTCTCAGATTGTTTAGAAGTATTCAGGTTATTTTTACACACAGGAAAACACGTTTTGCGGTTAAAGAAATACGAGCATCAAGCGCACAATTGAAACGAGAATTGATTGTTCGATTCGAAATGTCATTCATTTTATTTATGTTTAAAACATAAATAATAAAAACAATAATAAAAATATAAATAATAAAAAAAGATAAAGAGGGACTAGTGGAAATATCCATTGTGTCTCTCGTTATATCCTTCTAATAGAAAAAATAAATTTGGTACAAAGTTGTTGCGATGTTGGCAATTTCAAAACAGAGAGGACGAGTGAAATCAAGTTGCGCAAAATGGCAAAGTGCGACGCTTTTTGTTTATACAAGGACCAAAAGTGAGGAGAAATTCCTCATTTAAACGATATTTTTTTATGTTTAATAATAACTCGTTGAATTTTGAAATGTGGCCTTGTGCCAGCCAACGTTTGTACATTCAAATTATCTTATACATGTAAAATATAATGGGATTATTAATGTTTCGTGTACATAAATGGTTATTTTATTAAGATAAAGTGATATAGGAAGTTTAAAGAATTTTTTTTCTATATCTTCTTCGATGTTAAATAAACATTCGATTAACGAAAGATTTTAAAAAAACTTTAAAGAATTTAAATTCCTGTCGATACACGTTTTTTTAAATTTTGATATTTCAATCGAAACACTCTTCCAAATGAGAAACGAAAAAATAATTTTTCTTATCATTTTATTATCAGCGATAATTCTGATTAATCCAAAAATAAGAATATCTCTATAAGGAATTTAAATCAAATTAAAATTAATCTAAGCTAAGCGTTTTTATCGTGTAAAATACATAAAGTGGCTTATCAGATCGTCACGTTCCTATTTTTATCAGTCATTCATATTATATTAACATTATTACATTGCAAATTTTAAAGAGATATTACTGGAGAGAAAGAGAAAAAAAAAACGGAAAAGAAAGAAAGAGAAAGAAAAATTAACACGATTAAGATTCGTTTATTACGAGAAAGGCAAAATAAACAACCTTTCATTATGGGAAGCAATGCTAAGTTTATGACGCTAGGTCATTGACTCGATTCTTTCGAGGAATTTTCGTTCTTCTATTGTATCATACTGATATATTTTATGCATTTTACTTCATTCTCTAGAATACACAAATTTTTAAAAATAGACAAAAACGAATTATGGACGGAAATCTTTACATAAAGATAAATCTTTAATATAAAGATACACAAAAGAATGCGCAATGAATTATTCTAGTTCGTTAAGCGTGTGATTAATTCACTTAATCGATACGTTCATGGAATATTTTTGAAGGATCGATTCCAGAGATTAAAATAAGCGGAAAAGTTATAAATATATATATATATAAATTAAGCTTACGTGTTATATGAAGATGTAATATTTTTACACGATTTTTTTTTTTTTTTTTTTAAATATCTGGAAACATGGAAGATTAAAATATTTTAATCTTCCGTTTTTCCAGAGATTTAAAAAAAAAAAAAAATCGGGTAAAAATATTACATCTTCATATAACACGTAAGCTTAATTTATATATATAAATTAAGCTTACGTGTTATATGAAGATGTAATATTTTTACCCGATTTTTTTTTTTTTTTTTTTAAATATCTGGAAACATGGAAGATTAAAATATTTTAATCAATGAAACCGCTCAAGCGTACAATTAATTAACTCACTTTCTCCGAACGTAGTGATGTAAAATTCTCATGGTCTAATAAATTCTTACACTTATAATCAGTGAACTTCATTAAAACGTTTCCTCCTTAATTATTAAGAATAATTCAAGTCATATATATTTTATGCATGCATATAAAAATCCAGTTACAAAAATGTTACACTTCATTATTTTATACTCATAATGCTGGATACATTTTTTTTTTTTTTGAGCTTGAAGAATCCTCCAAAAAAAATTAACAATTTTCCCTATTTTCCATGTGTAATAAATTATTACTTATTTTATCATTATTTCTATTATTTTGTTGCCACACTGTGTACATCATAAAAGATTTTGTTCACGTGCAATCGTTGATTCTATAAACGGATATAAAAATATTGGTCTTAACAAAGGTATCACCATTCACTTTTCTAAATCACACAGGCTCAATAAAAATGCAAACCGTTTAAGTTTTGCCATTTTGAAAGGGGTGTAGATCACTTGTGCCTAAAGTGTCCTTGCCTGAACTGTTATTATCACCACAGCAAAAGATGGAGAGTGATCTATTTCAGTTGGTTTCGAGAAGAAAAGTTTACTCGTTAAATTTTATGAGCAATTGTAATATTTGACAGGTTTGCACAATGGATACGGTTATGTTAGTGCAGACTAATAGGGTAATAGGAATGAACAAAGAGTAGAAAGAGGTATTTCACTTTTGTTCTTAATTTATACGTGGATAGCCAATATTTGACCTCCTTTTTTTTTTTTTTTTTTTTTTTTTTTTTT